CAGCAGTTAGCGTAATGGCTATGTCACTGAACTCCCACTGCTGGACCCGGTGGCTTAAACTCACGCCGGGTGCATGTGCGTGTGTGCCCAAGATCCTGAGAGGAGAATGGAGAAGAAGGGATTGCAGCGTCTCCATCCCCCATGGGGGATGATTTCTGCTTTCTGTTTCTCTCTCTGTGTCTGTCTTTCTGGCGAGCGCACATGCCCCCTATAGCAAAAACTTCTCCAAAAAAAAAAAAAAAAAAAAAAGATTGAATAAATAAATGAAAAGGGAAAGACAAAACTTCCCTGCAGAAGAATTATAAATATTTGTGTAAATACACCCCCTTCCAGGAGGTGGAGCAGAACTCCCCACCCCTCGAGTGTGAATTATACCTAGTAACTTGCTCCCATAATGCACCTATGGAAAGGAGACTGGGAGAAGTTCTCTAGTGAAGAAGCCTGACAAACACAGCCTCAGCCCCAGGTGACCCAGGTTACCACCAACAGTCACAAGTCATGTTGACACCCTGAGGTGATATAATGAGAACAGCACTGTACATATGTGGTCTTCCTGCCAAAAAAAAGGGGGACCAGCAGTTAGCGTAATTGCTATGTTGCTGAACTCCCATGTAGTCAACCACGGTTCAAGTCTCGGACCCAGTGGCTTAAACTCACCTGGGTGCGTGTGCATGTGTGCCCAAGATACCAAGAGGAGAATGGAGGAGAAGGGACTGTGACGTGACCATGCCCCCAGTGGGGTGGTTTTTCGTTTCTGGCTCTCTGGTGAATACACGCATCCTGTAGCAAAAGCTTCTCAAAAAAAAAAAAGCAAAGAATACTAAAATCCCAGCCTAACCATGAAGAAAAAACACCAGACAAATCCAAATTAAGGAGTATTTTTTAAAATTCCTGACCAGCAGTTAGCATAATGGCTGTCATTGGACTCCCATGTAGTCGACCATGGTTTGAGTCCCAGACCTGGTGGCTTAAACTCATGCTGGGCGTGTGTGTGCGTGCTCAAGATCCCAAGAGGAGAATGGAGGAGAGGGGATTGCAGCGTGGCCATCCCCCCTGGGGGTTGATTTCTCGCTTTCTGTCTCTCTGTCTCTCTCTGTCTGGCGAGCGCACGCGCCCTATAGCAAAAACCTCTCCAAAGAAAAAAAAGTAAAAAAAAAAAAAAAAATCCCTGACCAGAACTCCTCAAAACTTACAAGATTAGCCAAAATAAGGAAAGTCTGAAAAAACGTTATAGCCCAAAGGACCCTAAGGAGACATGACATCTAAATGTAGTATGACATCTTGATGGAATCTTAAAACAGAGAAAGGATATTGGGGGACAAAACAGTGAAGTCTGAATAAACTATGAAGTTCAGTTAATAATAATGGGTCAATGTTGCTTCATTACTTGTGAGAAATGTACCATAGTAATGTAAGGTGTTAGTAATGGACAAAACTGAGTGTTGGAGATAGGGAAACTCTGGACTAGCTCTGCAACATTTTTTTTTAAATCTAAAAGTATTCTGAAGTAAAAAGCTTATCAGGCTGGGCCCATAGCACAGTGAAAATCTAATAACCAGGACCCCATGAAAATCTAACCTCAGGACCCCTCTACCTGGCATGCTCTCCCCCAGCCCTCTGTATGCTGACTCCCAGGTCTCAGATAAAACATCCCCTCCTCAGAGAAGCCTGTCCTGATGCCCCAAGTCTAACTTAAGTTCCCCACTCACCCAGATTCTGTCCAGTGCACCTCACTTTTTGCCTTGTTGGTCTTCATCACATGTGGATCTATTCATGTGGGTGGTGTTTGGTCTTGGGTATGTTTCCCTTCCAAGGACAGGAACCATTTCTGTTTTGCTTGTCCCTTGCACACTGGGTGCTGGCACACGCAGGGAGCAGGTGCTCAGCATGCAGTTTGGGAATGAGCAGATGAATGGACGACTATTACCAAGGAATGAAACTTTTCTGAGCCTCAGTGTTCTCGCGTGAAATGGAACACTAATTCCTGCGGTGCTATCTGTGTGATGTATCTGCCCTACAGAACATAACCCACCTGTGAAAACAGTCCTTATGTAAAAGGGAGACAGAGTCCTCACTTGTCTTTACTCAGGGGTGCAACTGAAATTGCTTGTCTATGGTCTCAGCCGGGAGGACAGGCATCTGTGGGATCGCTCTGAAATGCAGGCAGAGAGACAGCCCTGATCTTGGTGTATCTGACCAGGAGCCAGAAAGCTGCCATCCTGGAGGCTCAGAAGCCTGGGACTTTTGCCTCGGACTTGACACAGAGATTGTAGAAATATAGCCTCAGTGGGACCAGCAGATGGCATAACGGTTATGTCGCTGGACTGCGACATAGTTGACCGTAGTTCAAGTCCTGGACCCGGTGGCTTAAAACTCATGCTGGGCACGTGTGCGTCCAAAATCCAAAGAAGAAAATGGCAGAAAAGGGACTGTGGCATGGTCACCCCCTGGGGGGTGATTTCTTGCTTTCTATCTGTCTTTCTGGCAAGCCCACACACCTTATAGCAAAAATCTCTCTATAAAAAGGAAGGAAGGGGAACCAGCAGTTAGC